TTGCGGGTATGAAGGGCATCCAAATCATATGCCAGACTAATTGGTGGTTTCTTCCGCGGTGGCAACCCCTGATAAAACAGGAACTAAGCTTAAAGAAGATGAGCGAGGGAGCAAGTAACAGCCACCAAAGACCAACCATTAAGGAAAGTCAACACATAGCCTTGCATCGACTCACTCACTATCCTTCATTTATTAGTGGTCGCCACAGCAGATTGAACCAGCAATTACTCTGGCATATGTTTTATGCAGCTCTTCCAGCTGCAACCCAGTGAGGAGAAAGACCCATACACTCTCTCATTCACACACACATTCTTTCACTATGTGTGATTTATTTATAAACTAATTTCGAGAGGATCACGTGCTCATGATCAACACGGCTGGCACCTCATTAGCTCTGTAATCTGCTCTATTAGATGATTACGGAAGCATTATAAATAACCAAAGTTTTTCACTCCAGTTATATTCCATAGGGCAACACGGTGGCCCAGTGGCTAGCACTGTTGCCTCACAGCAAGAACACAGCTGGTCCAACCTCCTATCGGGCTTGTAGGCGTTTCTGTGCGGAGTTTCTATGTTCTCCCCGTTTTCTTATGGGTTTTCCCTGGGTTCCTCAGTTTCCTCCCACCATCCAAAAGCATACACCATAGCCAATCGACTAAACCAAATTAACCCAAGACAACCTTAGTTTACACTTCTCACACGGCTACAAGCAGGGGAGTTCTCGAGACCTTCCTGAGCTTTAACTCCCCTCTCGCCCTTCTAACGGGAGGGAGCCCTGGTCTCGAGGATATTACGAGCTCAGGGTTCTCTCCTGGGACAGCATGTCAATTACGTTCTATTGATTATAAGTTAAGTGTGAACTCTTGAAGGCCAATTAAGTTTACCCAATTCATGCATGTCTTAGGACTGTGGGGGAAACCAAAGCACCCGGAGGGAACATGCAAACTCCAAAAAAAAATATCTCCTGGCCCAGCTGGGACTTGAACCAGTGACCTTCTTGCTGTAAGGCGACAGCTAACTACTGAGCCACCTGCATCATCTGTGTTGAGACGAAAAAAAAAAAAAAATTGCACTAGAGCAGGGATGCTCAACCATGCTCCTGGAGATCTATCTTCCTGCAGAGCTCCAACCGTGACAAACACACCTGAGCCAATTAATTTAGACCTGAACAGCACTTGTTAATTACAGGGAGGTGCGTTTGATATGGGTTACAACTGAAATCTGCAGGAAGGCATCTCCAGGAATAGGGTTGGTCACCCCTGCAGTAGAGGTCTTCTGCCTTGCTCCTGGAGGCATCACTATCCAGTAGAGCCAGTGTCCTGCAAAGATTAGTTCCAACCCCAATCAGTGGGTGGTGTCCTGCAAAATTTAGTCCTAACCCCAATAAGACACAGCTGGACTAGCTAATCAGGCTCTTAAAGGCTTTCTAGAAACATCCTTGCAGGTGTGTTGAGGTAAGTTGGAGCTGAAATCTGCAGGACACTGGCCCTCCTGGACCGAGTTTGGACACCCCTGCAGTAGAGCTTATAGCTTCTACATCTGGCGCCACTGAGGTTGGAAATAAACATTGCAGGTCAGTGGGTCACAGAGTGGAGCTGAAACACAGCACATAAAGGCCACTCGCCAAATCTCATGTGAAGTGTGTGTTTTTTTTGTTTACATCAGGGGTGTCCAAACTTGGTCCAGGAGGGCTGGTGTCCTGGAGAGTATATCTCACACTTGCTTTAACACACCTTCCAGGAAGTTTCTAGTATCTAGTAAGAGCTTGATTAGCTGGTTCAGGTGTATTTGATTAGAGTTGGAGCTAAACTCTCCAGGATACCGGCCATTCAGGACTGGGTTTGCACACCCCTGGTTTACATGCTTTGCCACAAATTCATTGCAGATTTAATCTAAAACAGCTGATAGATTCTGCCCAATCATGCCAGCACCACTAACCTGATTTCAGCAATAGCACATGTTCCTGTACATGTTTATCTATGTTGATCCTGGAATAGCATTTCAATCGGCCAATCAGAATGAAGGGATACGCTTACCATTTATGTTAGGGTTAGACTTATGGTTTACACCAGAGGTCACCAATCTCAGTCCTGGTGGGTCGGTGTCCCTGCAGGGTTTAGTTCCAACTTGCCTCAACACATCTGCCTAGGTGTTTCAACTATACCTAGTAGGTCCTTGATTAGCTTGTTCAGGTGTGTTTGATTAGGGTTGGAGCTAAAATCTGCAGAACACTGGCCCTCCAGGAACAAATTTGGTGACCACTGGTTTACACACTTCAACATGATTGTTATCCAACTATTATTCGTCTTGAATTTTTGGCAATAGGTATGGATTACTTTTTTTGAACAAAAAATGATGTTCCAGGATCAACAAGTGTCAAATCCTGTTCCTGGAGAGCCGCAGCTCTGCACAGTTTTGCTGTAACCCTAATTTAACACTCTTGTTTAAACTAATTGAGTCCTTCAGGCTTGTTTGAAACAGGTAGGTCTATTGAAGTAGGATAGGAACTAAACTGTGCAGAGCTGCCGCCCTCCACGAACTGGATCTGACACCTGTGAGATGTTAATTCAGGATCGCATTGTACTTGGCAATATCATGGCTGACCATTAGTTTGGTGTGTCCAGGGGTTTAAATGTGACTTATATTTGGCCATGCTTTATAGACCGGTTCTGATTCTAAACAGCCAACCAAAAGCATACATTGCATTTAAAAAAAAAGTATTAAATACAAAGGAAGCAATTAGTTGTTTGATAAAGTTATACAATTTTACAAAAATTATAGCATTTAAAACTTTTTAAGAAAAAGTTAAAAATGTGCCAAAGAAATCGTTTGATCTCAATAAAAAAATGCTTCCTTATGTCATAACTCTTTAAAAATTTCTATAGTTCTTCACTTGAAGACATTTGAATCATGCAGGTTTGCCGAGATTTCCCTGGTGCCAAACCATTGACGAAATACATGTTTGGCATAGTTTGTTGTTGCGTTTACACAACATTGACCAGCAGGCATCACCAGCGTGTGGTGTTTGGAACGCTTCAAATCAGCGAAGCAGTTGGTTCAACTGAATGGGAGTTTTGAAAAGCTTTATTGCTCCCCTCACTACAGATTCATGTTCACCCAGCAAAAACTAATTTGACAGACATTAAAACCAACAGGGGTAACATACTATAGACGCCGCACTCAAGTGCTTATGAAGAGTAGAAAGAGCATCACACAGTATGGCACACAAGTACCGCCTTTTAAACATCACTGAAGCTGCCATAAGGAGCACCAGTTGCATTTTGAGATGTGTGATTGGGACTACATGCATAATTTGACATTATGTTTGTAACATTATTTGAGCACAAGAATACAATTTAATAAGCATACTAAATTTCTTTAAAGAATGTTTCCTAATTTAAAGAGGTAGAAGCTGTTCTTGGATGACTGAAATACCTGACAAAGCAAAGTTTCAGAGATGAATGCTGAGTGAAATAGTTTGTCAGTGACCTTGTAACACAATAAAACTGTATTTTTCTGTCACAGTTTGTTATTGCGGTGGGTATTAGGCTATTCAGCAATGATGTGTACTTGTAACAGAAATGTTTTTACTTTGCATTTAAAAAAAAAAATGTTTTGCATACAGAAAAAAAACATGTAAAAAATCATACTGCTCTATGAAAATACCTAAAAATACTGTATTATGCATGCCAGGCCAGTAAGTTGAAGATGTCACTCAGTACCTTTAGCTCATTTCTGTAGTTTGGCATTGTTGTTTTGGTAGTCAAGTTAACAAATCCTTTGCATGTGCATGACATCATTTTCATTTGTGTGGTTTGCATGGAGACAATGACGCTATCATATTCAAAGGACCCCAAAACACTGTAGTTGAGTAAATTAATGGCCAAAACACATTAAATATTTTCTAGTTTATGCTGAAAACAATGCCTTTTAAATATTCTTTAAAATATTTAGCATAAAATATTTTAGAATAACCCAATAAATGTATGTCGATTAAACATTGAGTCTTAAAGGGCACCTATTTTACCCCTTTTTAAAAAAAAGTTGAGAAGTCTTTTGTGTTTCCAGAATGTGTCTGTAAAGTTTCAACTCAAAACACCCATCAGATTATTTATTAAAAATGTGGCCTGTGTCTTTAATGCTACTCCTTCCTGCCCAATCTCAAAAGACTCAATCTCCGCCTCAGCTGTGTCAGAAAAACAGCACAGTGACAGACATGAAGAAAGCAGATCTCTCGTAAGGTTTGTGAGAAATACTATTGTAAGAACTTTCCCAATGATTATTTGATGTATTTGTTGTGGAGTTTATTCAAGCCTTTCGATGATTCACACACAATGTCGTTACAAAGTTCACGCACACACACAGACACATACACACATAGCGCACACATTTACTTTGCACTGCTTTTGCACGGCAAATGTGACAGGATAAACGTTAATATACACTGCTACATGGATATCCGTATTGTTAATGTACAAAATTAACCTGATTTAACGTCCACAAATCGGGATTGAAGTGTCTTCTTTTATAATTGTACTGATATGCGGCTTTGGTTATAAAGATGGTAAAATAGCTGTAATTCATTACAAACATGCACTGTTTCAGAAACGTTTTAAACTTGCAAAACTCATACTTGATCACATTTGATGATGATTGATTATCACAGAGAGCTGAACAGATTTTTTAATCCCAGTTGCTTTGCGCACGTCCTGTCTTGATGATATGATTATATGCATTATTACGGAGACATGTTATTACGTTGCTGTCAAAAGAGGCTTAGTGTCTTTATATAACCCCCATATGACAGTGGACACACTATACTTACACACAGTTCTGTCCAAAAGATGATTTTCATCAGGTGCCCTTTAAATGAAATAAAAATTTAATTAGATTTTAATTCCAGTTTATTTTATTAATATACATGGCATTTCTGGGTCTACAAATCACTCTTTTGAGGTTGATTTTTAAAGTTTAAGCGATTATAAAAATTAATATCTTTTTGAAGTCCTATTTAAAGTTTTTTGTGGTCCCTTGATTTGTTCAGGGTGTGTGAATGGACAACCAGAGGGAAACAGACGTCCAATATTGATTTTATTATTGAACATTTAATTCAGTTCTCTAGTGTGATGTGCGCCCTTTGGCTCTATTCTCTTCCTATCAGCAGAGAAGTAAAGTAAATATCAAGTTCACCTCGTAAATCCCAGACACATGCGCGCGTCGTGGAAAACTCGTCGCTTGTGGCTTGGGAACGCCCGTTCACCGGGAGCGCATAACCGAGCGCAATAGGCTTGTCGATCTGTGACATCACTGTATGAAGCAGCCCACTGAAGGCTGGAGTTTAGATGATGCACAAAGAAAGAAGTCACTTTTCCACGGTTCTCCTGACTGACACGCGCTCAATCTGGAAAATTCCTCTTCTAATCTGACTTGACGAGTTGGATTCGCGAGTTTGGAGCCGTTTGTTTTACTCACGCTTACAGAATTATACTGGATTTCAACTATGACTACCATTAAGCCATATTGCACGTCGTTCCAGTCTTTTTCTTTCGAATCGGCGATGTCAGTCTGATCCAAAATGAAGTTTGGGAAGAACATATGTATCCTAAACGTCGGTGGCACCAAGTACGCGTTCACAAGAGAAGTTATCAAGGATTTTCCTCTGCGAAGAGTGAGCAGACTCCACAGCTGTTCTTCAGAAAAGGAGGTTTTGGAGGTTTGTGATGATTATGACCGAGAAAGGAACGAGTTTTTCTTCGACAGGCACTCGGAGGCGTTTGTTTTCATCATGCTTTACGTTCGTTCGGGAAAGCTCAGGTTTGTCCCGCAAATGTGCGAGCTGTCTTTTTACAACGAGATGATTTACTGGGGTCTGGAGAGCTCACATTTGGAGTTTTGCTGCCAGCGACGACTGGAGGATAGGATGTCTGACACATACACTTACTTTTCTGAGGACGACATGAAGGCAGAAGTGGAGTCTAGAGGTGAGGAGGAGCAGGTCAGCAGGTTCGCACCCGACAGAGGAAGCGCGCGGTGGCTGGAGAGGATGCGGAGGACTTTTGAGGAGCCAGCCTCTTCCATCGCTGCGCAGATCCTGGCATCAGTGTCAGTGGTTTTTGTCATTATGTCTATGGTCATTCTCTGTGCGAGCACTCTGCCGGACTGGGATACAGCAAAAAACAATACAGTGGAAGAACACAGGTACACGCATGAATTCAACTTCTGTGGTCTGTGGTATGGGTTGTGTAAAATTATAGATGCATCCTTCACTGGACAGATCAGATTTATGAGCATGATAGACTTCCATAGCTCCATATTATAGGCTAGAAGAAACTGCTAATTTCTACACATAATGGCTGAAAATATTTACTAACGGTTCAATTCTGTCCTCCTGAACTTAGCTTGAGTTTCTTTCCATGGCTTATGCTCAGTAGATTTGCAATCTGCGTTCAAAACACATTTCCCCCATGAAATACAGTTGCGTTGAAATAACTTAAACTGATCTAAATGTCAATAAAGAAAATAAACAAGTGATATGATTATAGTTGAAATTATCTGTCAAAAACCTAATGACGTGACTAAAGACATTGTGAATATAAATATAACCCAGCCTGATGTAATAGATTATAATTATAAGAATTCAGTTTTTCAAGTATTTTTTGTTGTTGTTAATTATTTATATTTAAAAACATTACAGTAAAATAATGTTAGCAATAAAAAAACAAAGACGTAATATTTTAATTTCATCTATTGGGGCTGCTGCAAAGTATATGGATGTAGATTTAGTTTTCTACTTTGATTGGCCAGTAGACGTCGCTAAAAATATTTAATGTCAACATACAGTATGGGGAGACCAGTAGACTATTTTAAGCTATATGCGTCACAATATTTGATACCATATTCTTATATTTGGTGTAAATGAGTTTAGAGCTGTAATATTTATTTCCCCAACCGTGTAATTTTATGACAAAAGCAAAAAAAATGCTATGTATCTCGTTGCATGAGTGATTTGTTACACCAGTTGAAAGCATTGTATCATTTAACCGTGCATGAAAATAATGTGACAATCATGTACTAAAATAGTTGCAAAGCAACTCTCCCCCACTGTATTTCCTATTAATTATGTTGTTTGTTATTAGGATGACAAAAATCTTTAAAAGTTAAATGATTATTATTCTGGTTTGCCTCAATGATCCAAAAGTGTCATTTATGTCTAAATGACTGAAATTGCACTACCAAGAGATTTACTGCTCATAGACAGGCCAAACACAAATTCCTAGTGTTATGATGAAACAGTGACAGGAAGTATATAAGTAGCTCTGTTTAATATATTCAACTGTTTTAGATTGTTAAATATATAATTTTTTTAATTAAATGAATTACATTTTAATCAATTGTTAATAATAAACAAAAGATCATCTGACGCGAACTTGCCGACTGAGCTTTGTTTTGTCAATTTTGTCTAAAAATACTGAATTAATCATTTGAATGATTCATGTAATTCAGAACTGAATGTGACAATTCAGGAAACACCTTTGCATTTTTAATATATTATGCACACTTTCACTCCTATTCATATCATACAATTTAAAATGATTTAAATTGATGTCAAAAAAATTTAATTAATTTTTTTTCTAATAAATAAATTATAACATTAATATATGATTAATATGAATTAATGTAAGAGTTGTTTTGCTACTATTTTAGTACATGTTTGTCACATTTCTTTCATGAATTCTTGAAGAGCATTTTTTAGCATCCTACTGTACGTTAATGTTCAGTTATTTCACTTTAAAGACCATGGAAATAAGCTATTCTGTCACACATACTGTAAGCCTGAGAAAAATACTTATTTTTAGAAGAACATTTCAGATGGCATTTAGAAGTTTTTGACCTTATTTGAGCTCTTTATATTTGTTTCATTTAAATCAAATGAATCAAGGTTAAATTTATGAAATGACACACTGCAAAAATGCTTTTCTTACTTGGCTTTTTTGTCTTGTTTCTAGTCAAAATATCAAAAAATACTTAAATCAAGAATCATTTGCTTCACAAGCAAAAAATATTGCCTTGTTTTAATAAATAATATATCAAAACTAAGTAAGTTTTCCTTAAATCCAGCAAAATAAGCAAAATATTCTTGTTCCTTGTTTTGACATAAGATTATTTTATCTTAACCCAGTGGCAGATTACTTAGCTTGTGGAAAAGCTTACTTAATTTGGCACATTAAACCTTAAAACAAGAGCTTTTGTTTTGCTTTTCTAGAAAATGCTTCTTAATTGAAGAATTTTTAGATATGTAGACAAGAAACAAGACAAAAAAGATAAGTTAGAAAAGCATTTTTTTCAGTGCATCATTATAGTTTTTTGGATACATAGTTTTTTTTTTTAATTTTATCCATGTAGTTCAATAGTTCAAAAACAATGTTGCGATGACAAATTCTGTTCCAGTGCTCCCATGCAATGTCTCCTCTGCATTTTGACCAGTTTTAGAAATGATTAAAATAAGCTTTTCCATATTCCATGTACAGACATTTTGTCATGTGGACATGACATCTACATAATACTCTCCATCAAAGAAGAAAAAGTCCAGTCTTGTTTTCATATTCCCTGTCAAATTGTCATTTTGGGTATTCCCTTGTCCCCGTCTCTCTCTGTCTGGAAGTATGTGTGAGTACAGCCTAAGGTTTTTTCTTTATGTATCCAGTAGAGTCTTGATTCCATATTCCACAGTGGCCTCTGTTTGTCTCAGGGTTCAGGTATGTGTTTTCATTCGTGTTGACGAGCTGGTAAGAAACGGAAATAAAACCCAGTTCATGCATGTTGTCTTATAGTCTTTCCAAAAATGACACAAATATGTTTTTTTTTATTTGGATATCGTTCTCTTGTTTTGTGTTAGTCTTTAAATCTCCATTCATCTGTTGCTTGTAAAGGTCCAAATGTATCATTTTTGTGTTCATAATGCCAACTGTTGATATACGCACTCACTGTTAACCCAGCACTCTGGCATTTGCGGGCACATTTACATATTTTATCACATCTCTGCTTATTTCACAGTAATTCCTGCCCCTGTTTTCTTGCCAAAGCAACTGTACTGACTGTAATTCCAAGTCAGTCACCGCTTTTGAGAAATGTGCTTTCAAAGACACAGTAAAAACCGTTCAGTGTGAAAGAGCAAATCCAAGGGCAAAGTCTTTTCTAAATGCAGCCTTTTGAAATAGTCCTGTCTTTGTTCAAATAGTAAATGGACATTGAGTCAAATATGCACTCAAATATTTAAAAAATCTATTAAATTGGATGTTTTTTTGGATCAGAAGTTCAAGGACTAGTTAGCAAGCGTGCCTTCTTGCATTTCAGCTTCCAAACGCGCTGACACCCCACTGTCAACAACACACTGGAGCTGTTTACACAATCTCAATGAGAGGACTTTTTCCACATAAAACACATTTGCTGCATGGTTGCATGGAATCTGATCTAACTACATTGCATGACATATTTACATGGACAAGATCAAATTTAATCAACGGCTGCTAAGCAACATTTGTAGAGGTTATTGTTGATAAAGTCACACTCACTGGTAATATTTAAAGGAGTGTTTGGCAGAGGATAATTCAAGGTTCAATACAAGTTAAGCTGAATCCACAGCATTTGTGGCATATTGTTTGGTCTTGCCATTTTTGTTTTTGTCTCAGAAATGTGAATCTTATTGTTTTACTTAAAAAGCATTCTTATGTTAAAACCTGTCTATAATTTAAGCTGCAATTTGTAGAGTTGTTTTATGCTGAGTAATTGTACTTTTAGTTGCATGATTTACCGGTATGGTAGTATCGCAATACTATGGCTCCATGGTGCCACTGTAGTTTGTAAACAGTAGTATCGTCATTAACGGTTTATCTACAATATATAATGTTGTATGTGGAAAAGTCACTAAAATGCTCACATGGTTGTGCAACAATAGACCATTTTATTTTAATAGTCTGTGGAGCCTTTTAAGGTTGCAAAAAGTGTAGAATGTGTGCCTTTAATTGAAGCCATAATGCATGTTTTCTATTGTTTCAGTTCGAACGCACATCTGAATCGGCTCATATCTGTTCCTGTCCATATGATTTACTAGCTACAACAACTGCAACAATCTCTTAAAAAGAACGACTCACAATGTCAAATTTTAAATTACTTTGCATTGTTACCTGATAAGACTGAAAGAAAGAAACAATAGATGAAAAACCCAAAATATCAACAGGAAACATTAAAACATTATTTGACCACTTCATATAGCCTAATTGTTTTTGGAAAATGCTCCATTTGTAACAAATTTAATTTGGTATAATTTGTATCTTTATTTTAATGTATTTTTTATTGGTCAGTTATCTAGAAAATAAAATGAATGAATAAATTTTACATGAAAAGACGTGCAAATAAAAAAAATTTCTAATTAAGGGAATTATGAATTAAATGTAAGTAGACCTATTATAACATGAAGTAAAGTATTTGACTACTTGGTATCAAGATACTTCAGCTGGTATAGTATCGTAAGATAAATTAATGATATTGCGACAACCCTACTTTAAATATAACTTTACACAGGAAAAATCTAGTTTTAGTAAAAATAAACTGTTTGTTTTGTAGTGACTGGAACCGTGATTGTTTTATTGTTAAATGACGAGCTCTAATAAATCGCATTATTGCTTAAATTAAATTGTAATAACATATTAAAGCCTAAATCTATTTATGAAATTCTGTGTCTAATCATTCATTTTTTAAATAATTTACACAGTGGCTTTCATAATTTGATTTATTATACATTAGGGCTACACAATATATCGTTTCAGCATCGATATTGGAATGTGCACATTCGCAATACTCACATCGCAGGATCTGCAATGTTGACTCTGGATTATACTTGAACATTTTGTGTTTTTTGAGGCCTGTGACTGTGTGAGGAATTTTAAAGCATTCAGGTCTTAGAAACTTTTCTGTTCGTATCTTTAATAATGAATAATTGTATCGAATCATTTACACGAAGAAGACAAAGCAGTATTATTTTACATCTGATTATTCAATTACTGTATACCTGAATAGTGTTAAGACTCCATGGAAAACTATAAAACACTGTTTATTAAATTTGTATCCTTTTCTTTATTGAATTTATCTATGATTGCAGATTGTCGATACCATTGTTTGACAGAATCATCCCAATCTAAAATGATAAATTCTTTCTAAATAGAGATATTCAAGTCATCTGATGAAATAATATTCATATCGCAATATATAGCGCAGAATAAAACAATATGCACTGTTAGATTTGTCTAATATCGTGCAGCCCTATAATACATACACATTAAAACCGTCTTGAAATCAACATTGACACTACTTGTTAGCTCACATTGCCATAATTGGCATAATTCTGATAATGTCAGTTTGACAGACTGGCTTTCAACCACAATACAACCATTAGTTTGCTATGAGTGAGAAAAAGCGAGGAGGAGTGCTACAATAAAATTCCACACACTCACTGCTCAGTATTCTGTTTCTGTGAACTGTACATCCGAGCACATGTGCTGTTTGGTCCAAGTGATTAAGGTGTTTATATGCTTGTTAGTTGCGATTAAAATCAGCCAATGGCAAATAGTTTAATGCAATTATAATTATGAGCTTAATCAAAATAGTTTCAGAAACTGGAATGGGGCCAAAATCTCATATAATAGCATTATGAGGGTGCTTGGAAATGTAGTCAATAGCCTTTTGTGCAAACTCTTTGTGATATTTTCTAAATGCCAATAACAAAAATGATCCCTAAATTACAGAGTTTCTATTTACTGATGTTATTTGAATAAAAATGTAAACTAGTAATAAAATCTTGACAATTTTTTTTTATTTTTACATCTTAAATAATCAATAACAATAAATGATAAAGGAAAAATATATATATATAATTAGAAATGTCACACTAAACTCTGCCCATGCAGTAGTTAATATAACAAATGCTTGCAAAAACGTGTGCCTTGGTTATCAGCAATGTGCCACAAATGCTGTCAGTTGATCTTAATTAGTACTGAACTCTAAGATTACCTTGTTCTAATTCACTCTTTTATTTTTCTTCCCATATCCCCCTCTCTCTCTCTTCTCCTCATTTCCCGCAGGATCATCGAGGCAGTTTGCATTGGCTGGTTCACCGCCGAATGCATAGTGCGTTTCATCGTCTCGCGGGACAAATGTGAGTTTGTGCGCCGCCCCCTTAACATTATTGACCTGCTGGCAATCACCCCTTACTACGTGTCTGTGGCAATGACAGCGCTGACTGGAGAAAACCCTCAGCTACAGCGAGCAGGAGTCACCCTGCGCGTGCTGCGAATGATGCGCATCTTTTGGCTGATCAAGCTAGCGCGTCACTTTCTGGGATTGCAGACGCTAGGACTGACGCTGCGCAGGTGCTACCGTGAGATGGTCATGCTGTTGGTGTTCGTCTGCGTGGCCATGGCCATATTCAGCGCTCTTGCACAGCTGCTGGAGCACGGCCTTGACCTGGAGACTAGCAACGAGGACTACGCCAGCATCCCGGCATCCTGCTGGTGGGTTATTATCTCCATGACGACCGTCGGCTATGGAGACATGTATCCCATCACCATTCCGGGACGCGTGCTGGGTGGTGTGTGCGTTGTGAGTGGCATTGTGCTGCTGGCTCTGCCCATTACCTTCATCTACCACAGCTTCGTGCAGTGCTACCACGAACTCAAATTCCGCTCAGCACGCTGTGTGCGAAGTCTCTCCTCTGAGTTTCTCAACTGACCGTAGCAGAGTCCGTCCTGAGATCCTCCGAACCCGCTGGTCTTCAGCTGGGCAACGTCACCTGCTCTTCTGTGCCTTTATTTTTTTACTAAGATCTAAAGTGAAAATGGGGGAAAATCAGCATTTAGAATTTCCGTGCGAACCTTTTCAATCCAAATAATAACATAAGTACCTCTATACTCAAGGACACATTGTTGAATCTGGAACAATTTGAGACAAAAGGCCCCGATATACAAAGGGAGTGACTATCTTTTTCATCTTCTGCATGAAATCTAAATTTACTATGTCTATTTTGCTGGTGCACATATTTAGTCTTAAGGTGAACAGTTAATTCACACAAACTAATCCACTTAAAAGTTTGTTTTGGTAATCTTAAAACACAATTTTACACTTTTTATTATTATTATTATTATTATCACATATGCTAAACATTTTCAATAAAAAGCATGACAAATCTTACAATATGATATTTACATTTTAGCATAAATCATAAAAGTAAAATAACAGAGAGAAAAAACTAAGAACAAGAGTGGGTATACATAGCAATTACCATAGAGGAGTTTTTGGAGTATATTTACAGTTCTGGTTGCTTTACGACTTGAAAGTCCTTTAAGATTTTTAAAATCATTTTTTAAATCAGCCTTAAAGAGGGGGATATTAGGCATCCCTTCCGACCATTTACACTTGTGTATTTAAACTTGCCTAATAATCTCAAAAGATTTAACATAAGCAACAGATTCTTATCTATATCTTTTTTTTGTCTACTTAAAAAATAGCACCTCTTTTCTTTGTATTAATTCTTTGATCACTCAGTATATTAAATAGACATTCAACATCAAACCAGAAATATTATTTGCTTCCACTCTGGAATGGCAATCATTCTCTGATGACATCAGTTTGACGGGTGGGGCAAAATTGTCTTTGCCACGCCCCTCCAATCCTTAGTTTCTTGCCGAGGAGTTCCTTCAAAGGAGGAGCACAAAAATACATGTTCAGTATTCCATTTTTGTTGGAAATTTGTTATCATACTGAGGTAAACTATTTTAAGAGGAAAATTTGAAGTTCAATGTTTATTTGCAGTGTTATATTGTTCTGCATAATAATATACACTATCGGTCAAAAGTTTGAGCTCAGTTTTTTTTAAAGAAATGTATTCTGTTCATCAAGACAGCATTTATTAAATGTAAAAAAATGTTAAATTGTTAAATATTTATTACACTTTTAAATAACTGCTTTCTTATTGTATATAATTTTAAATAAAATTATTACTCCTGTCATTATTACTTATAATGCTATTAATAATAATAATAATAATAATAATAATAATAATAATAATAATATTAGAGTGATTTCTGAAGGATCATGTGTCTGAAGACTGGAGTAATGAATCTGAAAATTAATCTTTAAAATCACTGGAATAAATGATTCAATTAAATTATAAACTACTTTTGAACAGTTATTTTATAGTGCAATAACGTTTTACAATTTGCACTGTATTTTTGATTAAATACATGCAGCCTTGGAGAAAAAGAGAAGATTATTTACTGACATTAAAAAATTCTACTGACCCCAAACTTTTGACCCGTAGTGTATGTTGGAACAAGAATAGCGCGTATATGAACATGTAAATATGTACTAAATGCTTTGCTCTTGATAGCTAAATTAAAAAAAGAAAATACATTCTAAAATGTTTGTACAATCTAAGCAATTTGGCACCCACTTCAGGTCATGTTTCTTTCATTTACATAACATGTCATTTTAACATCAAGCAGCTTTACAGTATTAAATGTAAAAAGAGTGTCAAGTCTCTTTCAGTTTAAATTACTTACCTACTTTCTCTCAGGGCTGTTTATATCCAAGTTGATATTTAGACCTAACCATGTTGGTGTTTCATAACATCTAAATTTTACACAACCCCAACCTGGAGGACTAGGACATACACACATACACTACGGAAAATTTTGCTTACCCAATTCACCTATACCTAAATTGGGGGGGAAACCGGAGCTCTCAGAGGAAACCCACGCAAATACAGCGAGAACATACAAACTTCACATAGAATAGCCAACTGACCCACCCGGGACTCAAACTAGCAACCTTCTTGCTGTGAGGCAACAGTGCTACCTACTGCGCCACCGTGCCACCCTTTTAGTTTAAAAGATCAATCTCAGACTTCGACTTACTAAAAAGATTGTCAATCCTTGACATTTTAATGGCGTTGGGCAAAAAATGTTTGTTTGATTTTTTTTGCAATAGGCTGAGTAGCGAATAAAGTTAAGCTAATAAATTATGGATTATTTCTGATGCATTTCTTGATACCCTTTAGATGCATTGGCCTTGTGGGTTGTGATTGGTGCCTTTTGCATGATGGGATATGGCAGACGTGGTTTAGAATAGTTTATGATGGAGAAAGCACAAGATGTCAACAGTGTGGGAGTTTTCACCATCAAAATAAGTGTTTTAAGCAGTAATAAGCAGTTAGAATAAGCAGAAAGATGCTTGTTTGTTGGCACATATATAGTTGAAGTCAGGATTATTAAACCCCCTTTGAATTCCTTTTTTTTTTTTAAATATTTCCTAAATGATGTTTAACAGAGCAACATTTTTTTCTTGTGGAGAAAGTCTTATTTGTTTTATTTTGGCTAGAATAAAAGCAGTTCTTAATTAAAAATATTTTAAGGTGAAAATTATTAGCTTTAATTAAACTAGATTTTTTGTCGATTGTGTACAGAATAAAACATCATTATACAATAACTTGCCTAATTATCCAAACATGCCTAGTTAACCTAATTAACTTAGTTAAGCCTATAAATGTCACTTAAAGCTGAATAGAAGTGTCTTGAAAAATATCTTGTAAAATATTATTTACTGTCATCATGGCAAAAGATAAAATAAATTACTTATTAGAAATGAGTTATTAAAACTATTATGTTTAGAAATGTGTTAAACAAATCTTCTCTCCATTAAACAGAAACTGAGAGGAAAAATAAACAGGGGGCCTTATGATTCTGACTTCAACTGTGTGTATATATATATATATATATATATATATATATATATATATATATATATATATATATATATATATATATCAATTATCAGCTTAAATTTAAAGAGTTATATAGGGCCAGACAAGATCTTTGGAATTTTTTTTAGCTATTTCTACTGAGAATTTTGTTAAAGAAAATATGCAGATTTATGCAGAATGACATTGGGAGCATCATATCTGAAACTAAAACTTATTAAATGAAATAAAAATAATACCTGTTTTAACTTTTATTTAATGTTTACAATGCAAATCCAATTAGATCCCCTTAAATTGTAAACAAAACAAATCTCAAGTATCTACTAATTTAATACATCTATATATAATATATCTACTAAAGAATGTATTATGATATGAACATTTTCATATTAGTCAATAATATTACTGAAATTAAATGAATGAAACTAAACTGAATAAATAAAAATGTACTTACATTTACACAAGTAAATAAATAAACTCAACGATGGGCTTCAAATCTATGGATTTCTGCATGTGCAGATTTCACTTGGGCATAGCTATTGCTTATTGTTGAACTGGTTGAAATTTCAATATTGTTGCATCCCTGAAATAGATGCATTAGACTGGTGAAGTTTTCCGCCCTTACCTATCATGAAATTACCATAGAGTAGTGTGAAGTTGTTTATCAGATAGGGCTTTTTTTCAAACTCCCTAAACTCTTTTGTCCTAAGTGATGTCACACCTATTAATTTTTCAGTTCTGCTTGAAGTATATCGGGGCCTTAACAGAACAGGAGAAAAGAGACAAATCCCCAGCTCAAAGCTGGACAGTGCACAATAAAGCGTTACGATCCAAAGGAAATACATAAGCCAATGTTTGTGTTGTAACCCTCTTTGCCGTGTGAACGAACAAAACCGATCCAACAGCATTTCCTGCGTATGAAATGGACAACTGTGGCATTTGACGACTACAGATGGCCAAGCTGCCTGGAACGGGCATCTGGCGGGACCTTGTGTCCTGACAGTGCTCCAGCCTAGAAAGAGCTTACACGAATTCTCATGTTTCCATGGTGAGGTCCCTCCGACTCGCTAAATCATTAATTCAGCTCCCAATAAAGCAAGGGGAACTAAAGTGGCAGAACAGACATGGAAGCAAATACTGTGAAGCACATATTTTTAAGTCACCCTCCGAACGTGCAATTTCAAATAAAGTTAAAGGTCTTACTCAGAGAATGCTCGTTTATATTACCAAGTCACAAAAAGACAAACATCAGCTGTTCATCCAGACAGCGACATTACTGCAACCTGTCCATACACGACTGTGTGAATCAAGAGGCGTTAACTAAATTGATTAGCAAACACCTCACCCACACGCTCAGCAGTAGGAGGGCTGTCACTCGCTTCCTTCTTCCTCTTTGAATACAAGCACAAAATCAAACCTCTTTTCCACGCTCGAGGCCCTTGTATGTGTCTCCTGTAATAAAAACATGAAATTTTGCTGGTTTGACGCTGCATATGTGATGATTTATTGGGGAATATACAGTAGATTTTATAATAACATTTCATTATATTAAAGTACCGTCAAGAAGAACATGAATTAAGCTTATATAACTTACAATTTGTTTAGCTAAATTGATGATAATGTCACCATTAAGATAGAGTGCATTGTTTAATTCAGGTTATCCTCTAATGACATCGTTTGTCTTTAGCCTAAATTGTCATGTCAACATAGGGATCTTGTTTGAATAATCGCTGAAACATTGCTTAGTTGATGTCACACCACACGATGGTTGTTATTTGCATCTGTAAGATGTATGCCTTCACATCTTTAGCAGTTTGTATATTTGTGGCTATTTGGAAAGGTCATAATGATGCAAATGAAATCTTATGTAGCTACTGTAACCTAAAATGTATTGTAATTGCTAAAGACAAGGTTATATTTATGTGTATGAAGAAAATAAAGAAATGTTTATGATTCAAGCCGGATTTTTTCATTAATGCGGAAAGAAGAACACAAAGGAAGTACTTAATAAAGATGAAATGATCTAGGTGTTAGTTTTTACATGATTTTTTTTCACATTCAGTGTCTGCAAACCTCGAAATCTTGGCAACAAAAGGTTCCACATCTCCATCATTATTGCCCAGGAGAAAAGATTGAGTTTGGCGAACACACGTTGACCTTTTCTGACAATAGCAGACCATGATGTCACATGGATTTACACAATGGGAACCTGCCATTTAACTGTCTTTTCTTAGGATAAGCATTTTATTTATTTATTTATTTATTTTTATTAGGTTAAAGAACATAGCTATATAGGCCTTTCACAATAATCAATATATTGACTTATCGCACAACACATGGACATGATCTTATTCATTTTTGGTGATGCAAAATACAGTTGAAGTCAGAATTATTAGCACACCTTTGAATTTTTTAATTTTTTTGACATTTCTTTTTTTTATATTTCCCAAATAATGTTTAACATAGCAAGAAAATTTTCATAGTAAGTCTGATAATATTTTTCTTCTGGGGAAAGTCTTATTTATTTTATTTGCACTAGTATAAAAGCAGTTTTTAAACACCATTTTAAGGACAAAATTATTAGCTCCTTTAGGCAAATTTTTTTTTCGATAGTCTACAGAACAAACGATCATTATACAATAACTTGCCTAATTAGCCTAGTTTAGCTTTTAAATGTCACTTTAAGCTGTAAAGAAGTGTCTTAAAAATATCTAGTCAAATATTATTTACTGTCGTCATGGCAAAGATGGGGAAAATGGAGATGTCAGTATGGTTAAAAACACTATAGTATTCACTATAAATTACTTTAGTTTATTTTCCTGTGGATGTCGGACAACTGAAAATAGATCTGGTAGGCTACCAGATATCGCAGTCTCTGTTACCTTTTTACCTTGCACCTTTTTGTTAACATATACAATGCATAAATGAATACACCACATTTTGAAAATGAATATTTTTATCCATTTCTCAGTGAATATAGGTAATATATATATGTGTGTGTGTGTGTGTGTGTGTGTGTGTGTGTGTGTGTGTGTGTGTGTGTGTGTATGTATATATATATATATATATATATATATATATATATATATAAAAATTGGGGCATTTGAACAAAATAGATTTATTAAACAGATATATTTATTAA